GAACATTAGAAGGATGAATGAAATAGAACAGACAGATTGCCAGATGGAAAATGGAATGGGATGGATTCCTCAGTCCTGAATACTGACCTTTGAGACCAAGAATTGGTGGATTCAGTGGAGGAGGGTTGGGAAAGGAGAACTTGACAACATACTCCTTAGGTTTCTTAAGTAATTCTACAGTTTGAATATCATCCTGAAATGAAATATAGGTACTTTGAATATGAAATAAAAATAAGACCGTGTCAAGACAAATGTAACGACTAAATGATAAATTTACAACTAGGAAGCAATCTATAATATTATAGCAAAAAAGGTCTTCAAGATGGTTAGTGGTTAGGTACATGCACTAGGTGTGCTCTTCAACAGGAAAAAAATAATATAAGCTACATGAGATCAATATCAMACTAGTCCCCTCTACAGTTCCCTGCRCCATCTTGAAAGGTAACCATGCATGTGCATCGGAGCGAGAACAGCTGTGAGCTTGCAATGATAGAGACATGTGAATAATTGTCCAAGGTGTTAAAAAAGGTCTCTATTATTGCAAGGTCACCTTTCATCTCGCTTCGATGCACAGACACGGCTACCTTTAGAGATGGCACAGGGAACTRTGAARKGSACTATTAGACATCTAGTGCCTGTCATGAGTATTTTAGTACCTCTTCCATGTCTCCTTTCTTTCCACTTTTCTTTCCTTTCCTTCCCTGAACWGCTTTGGTTTTCTCTTCCTGGTAAATAAAACATGCAGCACTGTTAGATTAATGCCCAGTTATCCCTTTATCTTAGATAACTCCATTTCCTAATTCAATCTGTTGAACATAAATATATCTTCCCATATGTTTTCCCATCTCATATTAATGATTTCTAAACATATAAAACATCCAAATTTTCATTCCATATTTYCCATATGTCCAATTTCAAATCTCCCACATAAATATATCTTCCCAAATGTCACTTTTCCATTCCATGTAAATCCATATTTCACACAAGTCCTATTTCAAATCTTACACTTCTCATTTTAACTGTGATTTGGGCATCAACTTTTATGCAACAATGAGATACATACCGCCTGTTTCTTGGATTGTCCTGAAGCCTTCAGCTCCTTCAGGTGTTTTTCCTGTAAAAAATAAAAGAGAATAAAAACAAAAACAAAAAAAAAAAACCCATAAAATTACTGAACCAAACACAGCCACCACCACAATTTACACGACCAGTGCATCAGTGACATCACCAACTTAAGAATTACCAAGAATATCACCAGCAAAAACACACATTACTATTATCAACATCATTACATATAACTTATACAACTTATATTTTACAACTTATATTTTACAACCACTACTCCCCATGCTGGGCTCTTCCGTGAGGTTCCCTCCACACGCACTACTACTACATTCTATATTTACAACATACAACACTCAACTCAAATAGTCATTTTTAAGGTGGGAGAAAAGAAAACCCTTGTGGCATGGGAGAGAACAACACATCAAACAATCACAACACACATATCATCAATTCTGAGCCGGGGCTCAAAACMAGACCATAACAGTGAGAGGCGAGCAGTAAACCACTACGSCACCCATCTATTAATYTTTTAATCCYTATTCCCATATACCTGCTTATGGAAAGCCTTTTCTTGTTCTTTCAACTTCTGCTTGTACATTTTCTTAAACTGAGCTGGTTAACAGATAATAACATTACCAATTTATTAGTATAATTATACTTGAAAAAAGAGTTTCATGCACTGTGATTTGCCAGCGACAAGTGATTCTGACACGATAATCACTGCTTGAGCGGTGATTATGAGGTTTCCCAAATTTTTCCAAAGGGTAAGTAATCCCAAAATGTTTTTTTATCCTGAAATTCATTTTTTCTCTGATATTCGAGACTAAAACTCGAAGACTTGATATTTCACCAATAATCACTTCACCTTTGGCAAATAATTGTCAACTAGATCAATATCTAAAATATATCATACATTTTTTGCTATAATTTTCTTACCATAATTCCCTCTGTAATATTGTAGTTTTTGATTATCTAAAGAAGAAAAAAGACAAAGTAAGTTTTTATAACTAGTGTAAGTAAGTTGAGATGTGGTAAGGTGTGGTGTAGTGAGGTATGGTATAGTATGGTGAGGTGAGATGAAGTGTGGTGAAATATGCTGTGGTGGGGTGAGGTGTGGTGGGACCGTGTTGTGGAGTAAGATGTGAAAAGGTGGGTTGAGGTGTGGTGAGGTTTGGTGAAGTGAGACGTGTTGTGGTGTGGAGTGAGATAAGGACATGAGGTGAGGCAAGGTGTGCTGAGGTTTGGTGGARTGAGATATGTTGTGGTGTGGTGGAGTGACATGTGGTGAGATGTGGTGAGCTTAAATGTTATGAGGTGAGGGTGCCAAAATTCTAGATCTGCATGCATTAATTGCAATTGTCTATAGCTGGCTTTAAATTTACCTAAGTGAATAATATCAGTACAAACGCTGTCCAAGAAGTACTGATCGTGAGAGACTACAAGCAATGTCTTCTTCCAGTTCTGTAGATAACTAAAATAAAATACCACAGTCAGTTGAGATCTTTTACTTAGTAAAAGGAGAAATTCTTATTAGCAAAGATCCACAAGAATCATAATTTCAATAATTTTTATAACTTTAATACTTATAATAATTTCCTTACTTGTCAAGCCAGATGACGGCATTCAGATCCAAATGATTTGTAGGTTCATCAAGCATCAGAAGGGTGGGTTCCAGAAACAGAGCTCTGCCAAGATAAAAGCCATAATTAAAACCAAAAACACCCTACCAGAACCTTTACTGATAAGCTTTTTTAAATGAAAAGTTGGAAAATTTACCTCGCAAGGGAGACACGCATCCTCCATCCTCCAGAGAAGTGYTTGACTGGTCTTGTCTGCATCTCGGTTGTAAAACCAAGACCCTGAAGATTAATTAGTAAAGTAATTAGAATCAACAAWGGCCWGAATTCTGAATAGACTGTRTGCTGCTATAAATCTATCAACAGGGTTTTGATTAAGCTTTGAAATAAAGGACAGGATCATGGTASCTTAAGTCARRGAATTTTGCTCARTTRCAKGAKCATTYTCTGATCTCCAACCCTTAATGAAAACCCTGTATCAATATCAAAAGGGTYAAAAAGACTTATATCACATACAGCTAAGATTCGTCTTGCTCTWGACTCAGCTGATGCTGCACCGATTGCTTCTAGATCTGCATAAACCTTTGAGAAACAAAATACAAGAGAAAAAAAACAAGATTAAATTAGTGATATCTTTTTTCACTTGCTTTTCACATCCCTGGACTTGGTATTAAWGGTGAGCAGAGTTTGTTTGGCTTCTCTGTTTCCTTAATTCAATGATCTTTCTTCTGGTTCTCCAGTTCGATTTGTGCGATAGTAATGCCCTGGATTTTTGTCTAGTTTGAGAAGAACTTGACATGATATTACCCATTTCTAAAAAAGTACATATTTTAAAAATTYATCACAATCCTGTATCCTTTACTATATTTTTTGTCTGTAAGTTTAATAATATAAACAGAGCCCCATTCAAACCAGCTTTGCTGAACTTGGGCACCTCTGTATAAATATTGTTGATAAATAAATAAATAACTTATTTGATCATGTAATACATGTACCTCCTTYAGTTTTTCCACTGCTGCTTCATCTCCAGTTTCTGATAAATCTATGAGCCTTTTTTCCTGGGAAAACAAAGTGAAAACTTAAAATTTTGCCAATAATRTTGTGTCTTTTCCTCATTAACTGCAGAAGGTTTCATGGATTCTGCAAACGGTCTCTGGAGATTATAAATTATTGGCATTGGTTGAGTAAATCCTCTTACACTTGAACCAATTTTCCTTTTTTTGAGCCAGACAGTCTCACTGTTTCCCAGTAACCTCATAAAAGGTACATAAAAAGAAAAGCTATCCTCAATGCATACCTCTTCCAATAACTGTAGTCTTTTCTTGTCTGCCTTCAATACAGCATCAAAGGCTGGTGTGTCATCTGCTTTCACATCTAGAATATGAGAGAGAAGAATGTACTTGAATTTCAAGAAGTGAGACAATTTCCTACCGAGTAAATTAGTATTATATTCTTTGTTTGTACATGAGTTCAAAGCCAAAATCTTGGTTGAATTCAACTAAAAATTGACATACCTTGTTCACAAAGTAAGACATCGATGTTTGGTGGTATTGCAAGTTTTCTTTCTGCAATATGAGACAGTAATGTTGTCTTTCCCATACTAAAATAAGAAACAAAAAATAAATGGGATTTTTCAATGGCATTTCTACAGARCAGCTATTSCTCTATTGAAATTCCAATTTCAATTTAGAAGTTAWTTTTTGTTGTAGAGGGAACCAGAGAACTCAGAGAATAACCCTCAAAGCAAAGGAGAGAACCAACAAGCAACCCTACTCACATAGGACAGCAAATCTGGCAGGACAAAGGTCAAATAGACCTCCTTGGCTCTGACATAATGTTTTCCCATTTCAGACCACGTGTCATTCCCTAGAATATCATTTTTTTGTTTAAGGTTTGTGCTCAGTTGCACATGAGAAGATACATGAATATGGATACAACTTAAACATATAATATCATTCTCAAGGGAATGACATGTGGTCTGAAATGGGACAACATTACGCTCGAGCCGAGRAGGTCTATTGGATAGGTGTTACTACACCACCTGTGTATATARAATAGTCACTAACTTATGTAAATGWTAATTCTGGTCAAGAAATAATTTCTTGTAAAGTATTACCAGGAATAGAAATACATTGAACATACAGCAATCCCACATAAGTATTTTGAAGAATAATATTCTTACCCATTAGGACCCACCAGACCATAGCGACGGCCATTAGTAATGTTGAGACTGGCATTGACAAACAGTTCTTTACCTCTTGCTGAWATACTGAACTTATCAACCTGTGTGAAGAAATGAAGTAGTAA